TATAACAGTTGTATGGCACCTACATTGTATTAGAAATTACAAGTCATCTAGAGATGATTTGAACATGGTAGGCTATGTTGTGGATTACATGCCTGTAACTCTTCCAGTGGATTTCACATCCTCTTCTGGCCTGCGGGCACCAGGCACATGTGGTGCACATGCATATACATACAGGCACTCACACATATACATAAAATAATTCTTTAAGAATGGTCTTTAAAGGACATTCAGCAGAACTCTTTATTACTGTTTTGTCTAATCTTGCTTTGTAGGTGTATTCATGGTTCTAGTGCTGTGGAAAACAGCTTGTGATCCACTGGTTAAGCTTAGAAATATGGTTAGACTTTCAGTGTGGAAATGGCAGAAGTCATGGATTAGAGATCAGGAAATGGAGCGTATCTGAAATATGTCAGTTTGTTTGCTGGTTGCATCAAAAGGTACAGAGAAAAGTATTGGGATAGAAGTTGAAAAGGTAGAGAATTCAAAATTCTAAACTGTGCCGTTCAAATTTGTTTTCTAAGACATTTAGTTTCTTTTTTGCAGTGCAAAGGATGGAACCCATGGCTTTGTGCATGCTAGGCAGGTCCTCTAACATGGAGAGCTGCATCCGCATTCCAACAGAGATCCGAAAAGCGGGTAGAGGGGATGCCAGACTCATTCCTTATAGCTAGTTAAACTTTACTGTTTTATAGTTAGAAGTCTGTGCTATGAAGAATGGCTCTTTAATACAGTGTGATTAGATAGACCTCAACTTTAGGAAGAATAATTTTTTAAATATTTATTATTTTTATTTTATGTGTGTGAATGTATTTATTGCCTGCATGTATGTAGGTGCCCCTGTGTCATGCATTGCCTGGTGGAGGTCAGAAGAGAGCTTTATCTCCTGGAACTGGAGTTACAGACGGTTGTTACTTGTCATGTAGGTGCTGGGAATCGAGCCCGGGTCCTCTGCAAGAGCAGCCAGTGCTCTTAACTGCTGAGCCAACTCTTCAGCCCAAGAATTATTTAAGTTAGTATATAGATTAATTGAAAGCTTAAAGTGTATGTACCATCTATAAAAAATGAAGCAGTAAAAATAAAGGACTAGAGTGTGAGTGTATTGCTGTTCCATTTTTGTTTTCCCTATAGATTAAAGATTGCTGATTTATTTTTAATTCCTAGCACCTGCTAGAGTACTTGACACATTAAACATCTCAGTTAAATGTTTCATGAATGAATAATTGCAAAACAAAAACTCTCAAGAAAGCATGGTTCATCTATATTGAATTGCTTTTGGACTTTTCTATGAGAACTTAATTCTGAATCATAGGGAAAGAAGTCAGTTCGTTGGGGAAAAAAGATAGGTATCGCACAGAGCAGTGGGAAATACAGTGTATGTTGTGATCAAGGTGTGGTGTGCACAATCGGGAGTCCTGAATTTGTGCCTTTGTCGGAAGGGCTTGTGAATGAGGAGTAGGAATTTAGGGTGAAGGTTGTCTTTGGTAAAGGAATTAGTGTGTATTTGAAAGACTTTATTAGAAATAGGTTAGATCTAGTTAATTTGGAACTTGGAGTTGGGGGCATGTGTGAAAGTCATTGAAGATGAGAAAAATGCTAAGCCAGTGTGCAAGACTTTCCAGTTTGTATTCTGGATAGGCAAAAAAGGAGCATCTTAGATTTTGAACAGGAGCTTCTCATGAGCAGACCCGTGCAGGGCCCTATAGCACTGCAGAAGGGGGTGTTGAATAGTTGATGTTGAGAAATGAGGGTCTGCATTAACTTCAAGTAGCAGTGAAAACACAGAAGATGGAGAACCCAGGGAGGAAAAAGTCAGTGGGTTAGTGAAAAATTGGAGACCTAGTGAGAAATGAGAAGATGTAAGTTGTCACCAGGTCAGTGTCACCACCTTTTCAGGTGTGTCTTAGCTTTTGGTAGCCCTGGGTGGATCCTGATAGGCAGAGGGTCCTGCATAAGAATTTATTTCCTGCTTTGCTTTCTTCCTTTTCCTCTGCCTCTCTTACTGTTCCCTCCCACCACTTGATTGGGAGTTCCAGGCCAATTGGGGCTACAGGGAGACCCTGTCTCAAAAAGACCAAAAAAGTGTATAAAAGAAAACATGGCAAATTAATTTTGTTTTTGTTGTTGTTGTTTTTATCGGTTAAGATTGGTTGTAATTCAACTTCATTTCCCTTGAAAATCTGGCCAATTAAATTCAGTTACATTAAGCTGGATGTGGTATCATACACTTGTAATTTGGTACTTTGGAGACTAAGAGGATCATGAGTTTGAGGACAGCCTGGGCTACAAAGCCAGATTCTGCTTATAATAATAATTTCAGAGAAGCTTTAACAAAACCTACATTTTTATATATGACAAAAATAACATTATTACACAATTCATTAATAATAACCATTAAGCAGAATTAAATTCATGTATTAATTGTCCACAAAATGTTCTTTGGTGTGTGCATGTGGGTGTTTATACCCACGCGTGTGCATGTAACCAGAGGACATCAAGTATCCTGCCCTATCACTATCCACCTTGCTCTCTGCAGACAGGGTCCCTCACTGAACCCAATACTAGGGTTACAGGTGCATGCAGTCATATCTGGCTGTTACGTGGGTGCTGAGAACCTAAATTCAGGTCCTCATGCTTGTGCAGCAAGTACTCTTACCCAGTGAGCCATCTCCCAGTCCCACAAAATGTTCTTTATCATTGATTTGCAGACGTTAATTGCATCTGATTATATCCCTTAGTACCCTTCATAAAACACTCCTGACACTAGCTGGCAGCAAATAGTTTTCTACAGAAAGTTCCACCTCATTTTGTTTTGATTGATCTTTTGTTATGGTCTGGACAGATCCTCATAGTTTTTAGGTAAGGTAAACACTGGTGTATATTTCATACTTCATTACATTGTTACTGTTATCTGGTTCTCCCACTATTAAGATTGCTACAGCTGGTGAGGAGGTAGGAAACAGTTTGTTCTTCTGCTGAACATTTTCCAGTTTACACTCTTGATAGTCTGTGTGGTGTTATTACCTTAGCATTCTATTCAGTACTAATGGTTTTAGCCTAGCTTATATTCCTTGCCTGAATAAGCTTTTTAGGCATTGCAAAATGTTTGTAACTTATATATTGCAGTGTTAATATGTTTTTCATGCTTCATTTATATTTATTATTATATTTATTACCTATTTTGCTTTGTTCAAGGCAAGGTCTTGCTGTGTTGCCAAGGCTGGTCTTAAACTCTTGGACTCAAGCAATCCTGCTTCTTCCCAAATAGCTGAGACTTGTGGCATGTTATACAAGCCACAATATCAGGCTCTACTAGCTGCCATTCTTTCTTTTAACTGGGTGTGTTTGATTCCTCTGAATGACCTTCCCTTCTGAAAGGTAACACGGTAAATCTTCTCAGTTACCAGTTTTCAGAATCGTCTCCCCTAGAGTTACAGGTTGGTTTGTTGAGCACATGCACTCATTTTTTTCCTCCCTCTTCTTGCCTTGGTGTTACTGCTGTTCACTTTCTGTTTCGCTCTTTTCCTGCAGTGCAGGTGGATTATGCTAATCCCTCTTGCTTTAGTGTTCTTTTTTTGAAGTGCTTGCAGTTTTATTGATTGTGTTTTTGTTCATTGCAATTGTGATTCTTTTTGGCCAAATTATCACTATGGCTGGTGAGGAGGACCCCTTTATCTAGTTCTGTATTGTGTTGACTTGACAATCTGACAACTTTGCTTTTTGGTACTGACAGATGCCTGAGGCCCATGTTGTACATTTCTTGCTCTGTATTTATAACTTAGAATGTATCCCCCCAGGATATGGGGATACAAGATATGAGTCTATCTTATAAGAACTTTATGTTCCTGGTAATTTCTTTTTCTGAGGTTTTAGTTATTTGTGATCAATCTTAGTCCAAAAATAGTAAATAGAAAATTACAGAAAGCAGCAGCTTATAAATTTATAAATTTTGGATTGCATGATAAATACCTGTGCCATCCCACACCCAGGAAGTGAATCATGATTTTATCCAGTGTATCCATACAGTATACACTGCCTGCCATTTGGTTTGTGTCATTTGGTTTGTGGTGGTACCACAGTGCCTAGTGTTCAAGTAATCCTTATTTACTTAATGTCCCCAGAGCATAAGAGTAATGATGCTAGCCACTTGGATGCAACCAAGAGAAGTGTAAGTGGCTTATCTGGAATACAGAAGTTTCCCCTTATTCTAGTGGGGGAGTACTATTTAAAAGCCTCAGTAGATGCCTAGAATTCTGGATAGTACCAAATCCTATCTATATTGTGTTTTTCCCCTCTTTGCATGCATGAATATGATAAAGTTTAATTTCTGAATTAGGTGTAATAGGGAAATTAACAAGAGATGAACTGCAAAGCTAGCCAGAATTTAGTTTTCCTTAAATTGAGAATTTCAGTCTTTTTTGGTGTATTCAAATTGTTGGCATTGTTGTGCTTGCATCTGGGGATATTAGTAAGTAAAATAAAGGTTGCTGTGATAGTTGACAGTAGATCTGCCGCCCTAGACATCTGCTAAGTCAATACAGTGTGGACGTACTGCATAAAGTTGTCATTCTCTGGACCAGCATGAGGATAGGAGAGAACAACTGCACATTGTCCTCTGACCTCCATGTGCATGCTGAGGTATACGTGCACACACACAATAAATGTTTAAAAACATTTAAAAAATAAAATTATGAGTTCATGTAGTTTATTTTGATTCAGTTGTAATTATCATGTCATGTTCAGAATTTCTCCTATTTGGCTAATAGAACCCTCTTTAAGCTAATACCCACATCCTTCTCAGCCATACACCCTTGTTAGCTTCCAGGATTGCATCTGTCATATCCTGAATCTAAACATGTCCATTTCTACATGTTCTTCTAGTTCCTTTTGGTAGCAAATGGTACATAGAGACCTTAATGTAGATGTCTGCGTTTTAAAAATGTTATTTTTATTTGATTCTTCAGTATACTGATTTATTTCTTTTTTCTTCATTTATTTAACAGGCATGCCCAAAGAAAAATACGAGCCCCCTGACCCCCGGAGGATGTACACAATTATGTCCTCTGAGGAAGCAGCAAATGGAAAGAAATCACATTGGGCAGAGCTTGAAATAAGTGGTAAGACATGGAAGCATGAATTTATGGTATGGAAATTAAAGATATGGTAGAATTAAAGTTTTTATAATTTCAGTATATAAAAAAGCAATGATTATATTTTGTGAAAGTTAATTTTCCTTAGAAGCAGGAACAGTTAGTTGGAAGAACATAGTTTGAGTCAGGATTTAAATCCCATTTATTGACTGCCTTTGATTTAAAAAAATGCATACAACAAACAACTGAGCAGATGTTACAAATAAAACTTTTTGCCTGGTGCTGTGCTAGGCTTGTGGAAGATAAATAGATGGAAAGTGTCCTTAGAGATTAGGACATACTAGGAAGTATGTACAGGAGAGAGCGTACAGGTATAAGCAAGCAGTGGACACTGTAACTGCCAAGTCTAGATAGGATAACGCTGTGCAGAAAGGACATGATGATATCCTTTTGTCCGATCAAATTTCTGTTTAGCTGATTGAATAACCTTAATGCCCTCTCCTGTAGCTGTGGTAGAGGTTGGTAACCACACGTCCTTTGTCTCTTTTTCCTCTTCTGATTTCTAGAGTGCTACACTTCATTTAATAAAGTTCAGTTTAGTAAAGTAGATTGTGGTAGTAGTGAAGTCTTGTTTTTCTTTCTTTCTGCTGTCAGATTTCCCTTTGTATGTTAGGGGAGCCCAAAGAGAAATAAGCTTTCTCGTTTAGTAGTTACTCTGAAAGCATGGGCAGTCATCATTTGCATTACCCCTTTTAATTTCCATAGCCTTGATGTTTAAATGCACTCTCTCCTTTTTCAGCTTGTTTTTAGCAGTTTTTGGATTAAAAGTCCTATGCCCATGGGAGAATTTTCCTTATTTAATACCAGGGTAAGGTAGAAAGCACTCACTTAGGTCACTGGGTCTATATCTCTGAGGTTAAGGGGTTCTTTTCCAACCTTTGCTCCTTCTAGCTCATGCTGATAGCTCCAGGGCAATTTTGAGTCACTGTTCTATATTTAGCTTTGGGAAGGGCTTCTCTATATACAAGATAGGAAGGAATGTGGGGAGACTGCTGAAGTACTTATTTATTTGCTTTTATTTTATATATATGAGTGTGTACCTGCTTGTAAGTGTACCACATGTGTGAAATGCCAGCAGAAGCCAGAAGAGAGGGTGCCAGGGCCCCTGGAACTCTAGTTAAGGATGGTTGTTAGTCAAACCCAGTTCTTTGCAAGAATAGCCAGTGCTCTCAACCACTGAGCCATCTTTCCAGCCCCTGAAGTGACCTTAATAATTGTCTTTCCCAACTGTCCTCATGAGGATAAACTATTGGTTGAATAGGTCTACAGAATAAGACCTTGTAATGATTAAAGTCACTAATAAGATCACTTTATTGTCTTAGTCTGTAATAGATAAGCTTGTATATGTAGAAATGGTCTAGGTTGAATTCATTTCATGCTGAGACAGTTTTTTTCTTTTTGGTAACAGTCATAAAATATGCTTTAAGGTTGGGGTGTGGTGGCACACGCCTTTAATCCCAGCACTCAGGAGGCAGAGGCAGGCAGATCTCTGTGAGTTAAAGGCCATCCCAGTCTACACAGTGAGTTCCCGGAGAGCTGGGGCTACAGGGAGACACTATCTCGAAAAGACCAAAAAAGATAAAAAAAAAAAAAAAAAAAAGCACTTTAAAGTTCACTATGTATTTATGATTCTTTTGCTGTTTGCTCTTTTTGAGACAGGGTCTCCCTGTACCCCCAGCTGGCCTTGAACTCACAGAGATCCGCCTGCCCCTGCCCCCGCCCCCGCCTCCTGAGTGCTGATATTAGAGGCATCTGCTACCACACCCAGCTTGAGATAGTTTTTTCATGTAGATTTAGCATCAGTTTCTTTCTTAAAGGTTTCTCTTTTTTTTTTAATTGCATTTTTGTGATTTTTTTTTCATACAATATTATTTGGTGGTATTTAGATCCCTTCCCCTATCCACACCTCCCCATTTTGCCCCCCCCAGTCCAATTTAATGTACTTATAATATAATACGGCCTGTAGAGTAATTTGTGTCTCTTAATGTCCTTCAGTATGGGTCCATCCATTGGAGCCTAGTTAACCTACCAAGAGTCCCATGCTTGAAAGAGACTATCTGCCCCTCCCAGCATCGGTTACCACAGTTTCCTTAGGTGGGGTTGGAGCTTCTTAACCCACTTCCTCGTGTCTCTGCTAGGATTTTTTTTCTCGTTTGAGCTTGGGACTTGTGCATGCTGTCACCATTGCTGTGAGTTCATTTGGGTAATTGACCAGCTGTCTGAAAAACTGTTTCCTTGTCCTCATCCACCACTTCTGGCTCTTAAAATCTTTCTGCCCTCTCTTCCGCAATGATCCCTGACTCTTAGATGGAAATTTTATGTAGGTGTTCTATTCAGGAATAACACTCTACAGCCTTTTGTTCTCTGTATATTGGCCAGTAGTGGGTTTCTGTGTTAATAGTATAAGGAAACTTCTCTGGTGAGAGTTGTGGGATTCATTAATTCTGCCAAGAAGACGTGTACACAGATCTGGGATGGGATAGGATCCATATGACCCAAGGAAGTTCTTAAAGATTTAGTTTTTAGTTTTAATTACACACACACGGGCGCGCGCACATGTGTGTGTCTGTGTAGAGATATGTACACATGAGTGCAGGTGACTTCTTCATATCTCTGTGTAATTCATTCTCTCTCTGATTATTATTATTTTTGGGGGGGGTCTTTTTGAGATAGGGTCTCCCTGTAGCCCCAGCTGGCCTGGAACTCACTGTGTAGACCAGGCTGGCCTTGAAGTCATAGAGAGCTGTCTGCCTCTGCCTCCCAAGTGCTGGGAGTAAAGGCGTGTGCCACAACACCCAGCTAAATTTTTTAATTTTTATGTGTATGAGTGTTTTGTCTGCATGTATGTTAAATGCATTGTGTGTGCAGTGCTCACAGAGGCCAGAAGAGGGCATAGGATTCCCTGGAACTGAAGTTAGGGGTGGTTGTGAGTTGCTCCGTGGGTGCTGGGGACCTAACCCAGATCTTCTGCAAGAACAACAAGTGGTCTTAACCACTGTGGCATCTCTCCAGCTCTAGCCTTCTCATCATTAGCAGTCTGTCCTGTGAACTTCATCTACCTTGACGTCTCCACACTCTCAGCTTCTTCTCAGCTTGAATAGACCCTCAGACTCTGCCTGAGTTCTGTTCTTTAATTGCCAGGAAACTGGGCAGAACGCTGGGATAATGATACTAGCTTATTTTGTTTATTTCCCACCTGTCACTGTTGTTCTGGGCTGCCTAGTGTCCACTGTCTGAAAATGGCTTTTTGATACATTTTGTCTGATATTTTTTGTTGTTGTTCCTTCCGTTTCACCTGGTTATTGTGCATGGGATATAAATCTAGTCAGAATTTGTCTATCTTGTGAAAGTATAAGTCTGTCATAGTTTTTTTAATATTTTATTTATTTTTTTTATTATTTTATGTGTTTGCGTATATTGCCTACATGTATATGAGTGCACCCGAGTTGTGCAGTGTTGCGGAGGTCAGAGGAGGGCTTCAGATTCCCCTGGAACTGGAGTTAAGGACGGTTTGTAGCCTCCATATGGGTGCTGGGAATTGAGCCCCGGTCCTGTGCAAGAGCACTCGATGCTCTTAACCGCTGAGCCATCTCCCCAGCCCCCTGTCATAGTTTTTTTAAGTCTGTCTGATAGGTTCAGTATTTGAGTTTCTTAGATGTTTTGTTCCGTTTCTCTTTGTCTGATTTTCAGTCCCTTGATAGCTTTTATTCAAATTGTTGGAAATAGCAGAATAATTTCATGGTGCTCTTTTCCTAAGGAGTGTTCTCACTTGTGTGTTTTCTAGGTAATTATGGAAGAGGTGGATGGCCCTAATCTAACCAGGAATTCCTTTAACTTGAACGTAGTAATGTTCACTGGTTGTGAGCATTGAGTGCTATTGTTGGACCATCCCTATTCCATTTACAGTTCCCAGCTGAGAGCCTGTGGTTTAACAGGCCTTCTTCTCAGGGTTCCCAAGTTCCTGCTTTGTCTTCTTAAATATTTACATGGCTTGAATTTTATTCAGCCTATCAGCATCAGCTTTCAACTCTTCTGTTTACTTGGCTGTTGCTTATATGATTTCATGTGTTCTGGAGGTAATGTTCTGGGAAGTATCCTTTTTGGGGGGAGGCTCTTTTTGAGGCAGGGTCTCCCTATAGCCCCATCTAGCCTGGAACTCACATGTAGACCAGGCTGACCTCCGTGTCATGGAGATCCACCTGCCTTTGCCTCCTGAATGCTCGGATCAAAGGTGTGCGCCACCACTTGGAAGAAGTGTCCTTGCACATACTGTCTGTGCTTCCTGCTCTGAGGTTGTCTGTCTTGTCTTTACTGCCTTTGTTTTTCTCCAGTGCTTTCAAATTTATGTTTCTTTTTTAATGTAACTTTTCTTTCCTCCAAGGGATGGTTGGCTAACAACAAACATAGGAATTGAAAATTGGGTGTGTATAAAACTTGAAAAATTCTACTTAAAGATCTAAAGATGCCAAACAGCTTTCACATCTCTTTTTGTTGTGTTTTGTTCCCATTTTATGGGAACAGTGCTGTAATTTCCTGCTTTGGGGGTCTATCTGTAGCTTTCAACAGCTGTACTTGTTCCAGGCCTTTGAGATACTGTGTAGGGCAAGGACAAATAACACTAACCAGGACTACACTCAGACAGCTTCTAGGAAAACAGAGGCTTGGATCTGAACTTAACTGATACTTATTAAAAGTCGTTTGAATCAGGTGCCTTTCCTACACCATAGCTTTTATCTACTTTGTAACATTCTGAAACATTTTTAAGGTTTGAGCTTACTGAGAAGTTAGCTCTATTCAGACTGAATTTTCCATGGAGTCACAGACCATGACTAAAATTCTGCATCAAAGACAGATTTTTTTTTAAAAAAGAAAATATTGTAGGCAGCTCTTTGTGATAATCTTGATAAGTATAACTCCAGAATCAGGTAGCTTTCATTATATTATGAAAGTTATGAGCTGCCTACTTT